CAAGTGGTATGACTGCATCCTATCCATAAATCAACATTTCTTTTCCAGACTGTACAAGAAAAACTCGAAAAGGAGTGTATCATTTAGTGCCTCAGCAGCAGTGGGACATGGTCAGGGCTGTGAGCAGAAGCCCCTGTTCCACTCTCTTTCGACAAGAGAAAACATAACACAGGGCTTAAGAACTCTCCAGAGCTCCAAGCATGACGGTGGTGGTATTTCTGCTTAGCTCCGACGACACTTGGATGACGATGAGGAGCAGTGGGTAGTTTTAGGGCTTTGTATTGCTATTCTGAGTCACATTTCAAAACCTTCTAATTAATTTTACTGCTGTTTAACCCTAAAATTACTCTGTCCTCCAGTTTGCTGAGAATTGTCTATTGAAAGCTCGTTTTCTCTAATCCCCAGCTTTCCTGATGGATTTTCCATCTCCCTCATACGTAAAATGACTGTTCTCCTTGGCCATCTGTCCAAACCAGCTTTCAGTTAAGCCTGGTCAGAAGCCTTTGAATGATGTCTCTTTGTTCTACAAATGTCTGCACCCATCACTCCCCTTAATATTAGGTATTTATATACCTTGTTCATTCAAATAAGATTTCAACATTGTTAAGACCTGAATTGCTAAAATATTAATAAAATATGTGATAAATACAAGTACAAATACATAGTAAATAATATAAGCAATAATTAATATAACTTAATCTACATTAAATTCTTCCTTTCCTTTCTCTGTAATCTTGAAGCTGGTCAAGTGTGCGCCTTTTTTAAGACTATAGACTATTGAGGCCACTCTGCGTTCTTGCTCAACAGAGAATAGGCTATGTGCATCCTTAGCTGCATCCTCCGTGCTCTGTGCATCCCCCCTCCATGCTCTGTGTATCCCCCCTCCATGCTCTGTACCTCCCCCCATGCTCTGTGCCTCCCCCCATGCTCTGTGCCTCCCCCGTGCTCTGTGCATCCCCTCTCCATGTTCTGTGCATCCTCCCATGCTCTGTGCATCCCCCCTCCATGTTCTGTGCCTCCCCCCATGCTCTGTGCCTCCCCCCATGCTCTGTGCCTCCCTCCATGCTCTGTGCATACCCCTCCATGCTCTGTGCCTCCCCCGATGCTCCGTGCATCCGCCCTCCATGCTGTGTGCATCCTCCAGTGCTCTGTGCCTCCCCCGATGCTCCGTGCATCCCCCCTCCATGCTGTGTGCATCCTCCAGTGCTCTGTGCCTCCCCCTGTGCTCTGTGCATCCTCCCCATGCTCTATGCCTCCCCCTGTGCTCTGTGCATCCCCCCTCCATGCTCGGTGCTTCCCCCATGCTCTGTGCATCCCCCCTCCATGCTCTGTGCATCCCCCCTCCATGCTCTGTGCATCCCCCCTCCATGCTCTGTGCATCCCCCCTCCATGCTCTGTGCCTCCCCCC